GTCTCCAGCAAGTTCTATACAGACTTCTGGCTGCTAGGAAAAAAACCAAAACTTGGATATTTGTCCCAGAGCTCTGCTGGTGCGGTGGGTCTGCTCCAGCAGCTGTGGAAGCAGCCTGAGGAAGAGGCATCGCTCTTCCACTCTGAGTGGAAGTGACTTGGTGGTGGATTGTCCTACTCGCACTCAAGCTTCAAAGCAAAGTGTCCTCTCTGCCCAGGAGGCTTCTGTCCGTTCCACTCATTGCTGATGGAGAAAGCAGTAGAGCAGCAGTGCTCGTGAGAAAGGGCTTGATCAGAGGGAAGGGAAGGGATGGTACCCAGGAGCCCCACCCGCACCCCGGCCACAGTGCTGTGAACCTACCCTAAGTATAGCCTCTTACATCCTTTTTTATTTCTTTTTTTTAAAAGAGAGGCTTAATGAATAGTAACCCGCTTACTACACAATTCACTCAAAGTATGTGATTCAGTAGTCATTAGTATGACAGATTGTGCAACCACAATTTTAGGACATTTCATCACCCTTAAAAGAAACTTCATATCCATTAGCAGTCCCCCTCCATGCCGCACTCACCTCCCTAGTCCTGGCAACCTCTCACCTCCTTTCTGTCTCAGTCGATTTGCCTGTTCTAGTGACTTCATTATAAATACATACATGGAGTATGTGGTCTTTCGTATCTGGCTTCTCTCACTTAGCATAATGCTTTCAAAGTTTACTCAGCACTTCATTCCTTGCTGTGGCTGAGTAATTTTCCATTGTATAGATATACTATTAATACATCTTGTTTGTTCATCAGCTGATGGACATTTGAGCTGTTTTGACTTTTTGGCTTTTATAAATAATGCTGCTGTGAACATTCATGTGCAGGCTTTTGTGTGGTCATGTGTTTTCATTTCTCTTGGGTATATATATCTAGACAGGAATTATTAGATCATGTGATAAGTCCATGTTTAACATTTTAAGGAACTGCAAAACTGTTTTCTGAAGCAGCTGTACCATTTTACTTTCCCACCAGGAATGTAGGAGGGTTTCAGTTTTTCCACATTCTTGTTAACATTTGTTGTTGTCTGTCTCTAGTTATTGTCATTTTAGTGGGTGGTTTTGATTAGTATTTCCCTTGTGATTAATCATGCCAAGCATCTCTTTAAGTGCTTATTGGACATTATTGTTTTTGAAGAAAAGTTTTTCAAATCCTTGGTCATTAAAGAATTGAGTATTTGGCTTTTTAATAATTGTGTTGTAAGAATTCTTTGTATATCCTGGATATAAGTCCTTTAGCAGATATGATTTACAAGAATTTTCTCCCTCTCTATGGATTGCCTTTTCACTTTCTTGATATTATGCATTTAAGAACAACTTTTCATATTTTGGTGATGTCCTGAATTTACTTTATTCCCCCCCCCCCAAGTGATTTTGGTATCATGTGTAAGATTTCATTGCCTAGCTCAAACTCATAAAAGTTTATGAGGAAAACCTACCTCTACCCCTGACATTTAGGTCTTTGACCCATTTTTGAGTTAAGTCTTTGTACAATATATGGTGTGAGGCAGGGATTCAGCTTAACTTATCGATATCCAGTTATAGCACCATTTGTTGAAAAGAATATCCTCATACACTTTTTTGAATGTCAGTACTTTGGTTTATTTATTTTCGATCAGAGGATGATTGCTTTATAATATTGTATTAGTTTCTGCTCTGCAACAGTATGAATCAGTCGCATGTACACACACACCCCTCCCTGCTGACCCTCCCTCCTACCGTCCTCCCCCGTCCCACCCCTCAGGACATCACAGAGCCCCAAGCTGAGCTCCCCGTGTTAGACTGCAGCTTCCCACTGGCTATCTGCTTTACACGTGGTAGTGTGTATATGTGTGTATATGTCAGTGCTACTCTTTCACATGTTTTTAATGAATTAATAAATATGTTTTAAATTTCACTTCTCAAGTGCTTCTGATAGCATGGGATCTGTTATAAAGGAAGTTATTAAGTTAACTCGTTAAACCTATATGCAGGTCAGGAAGCAGCAGTTAGAACTGGACATGGAACAATTGACTGGTTCAAAATTGGGGAAGGAGTATGACAAGGCTATATATTGTCACCCTGCGTATTTAACTTACATGTGGAGTACATCATGTGAAATGCCAGGCTGGATGAATCACAAGCTAGAGTCATAATTATGTGAGAAATATCAACAACCTCAGATATACAGGTAATATTACTCTAAGGGAAGAAAGTGAAGAGGAACAAAAGAGCCTCTTGATGAGGGTGAAAGAAGAGAGTGAAAAAGTTGGTTTAAAACTCAACATTCAAAAAATTAAGATCATGGCATCCAGTTCCATCACTTCATGGGAAATAGGAGGAGAAAAAGTGGAAACAGTGACAGATTTTATTTTCTTGGGCTCCAAAATCAGTGTGAATGGTGACTGCAGCCATAAAATTAAAAGATGCTTGTTTCTTGGAAGGAAAGCTATGGCAAACCTAGACAGCATATTAAAAAGCAGAGACATCAGTTTGCCAACAAAGGTCTGTCTAGTCAAAGCTATGGTTTTTCCAATAGTCATATATGGATATGAGTGCTGGACCATAAGGCTGAGCACCAAAGAGTTGATGCTTTTGAACTGTGGTGTTGGAGAAGACTCTTGAGAGTCCCTTGGACCTCAAGGAGATCCAACCAGTCCGTCCTAAAGGAGATCAGTTGTGAATATTCATTGGAAGGACTGATGCTGAAGTTTTGATACTTTGGCCACCTGACGCAAAGAGTCTACTCATTGGAAAAGACCCTGATGCTGAGAAGAATTGAAGGCAAAAGATGAGATTGCAGAGGATGAGATGGTTAGATAGAATAACCAATTCAATGGACATGAGTTTGAGCAAGCTCTGGGAGATAGTGGAGGACAGAGGAACCAGGCATGCTGCTGTCTACGGGGTCGCAAGAGTCAGACATGACTTAGCAACTGAACAACAACTCATAAAAGGGTAACATTTACTTATTATTATGTAATTCTGAGTGAGGGAATCAATTGATTTCATATTTCTCTATATTTGAAACTAAGCTGAAGGATATTTAGTCACAGAATTCTAATTCTTAAAGCACACCAGAGTCTTGCCTTCTTGTTCTTATCTTCCAGTGTTTTTTTTCATTTTATTTACTGTTTGTTTCCTGTATTTACTTTTTTGTTTTTAGTTTTTTATGGTATGATATAGAGTGCCTACAATTAAAATGTTTGGAGCATAAAATAGAGCAGTCACCCCTGTGGATTTATCTTCATAATGTGGACTGAGTGGTCCTGTAGAATGCTGCAGGTATTAGGTTTTAGAAGGAGAAATGAACCAAGATTTTGGTTCCTCTTCTCAAAATGAGAGCACTCTTATTTCAGTGCTATTTGGTACTCTTGTGCCTCTGATTCTAAAACACAAACCCCATATTGGGACCGGGAGGTTGGCCTGCTTGCTGACTCTTTCCCTTTGAGTAACCCCTGCTCCATTGGCCTCTCCACTTCAGCCCCCATCCACACACTCTTAAAACAGAGACTGCCCTGATGGGCCATCTGCAGGGTGACAAATGGATCATTGGAGCTGTGGAGAAGGATTTGAGCCCTTTGTATAAAGCGTGCTCTGGGCTTGCCTAATTATAAACAGGACAGTTCTGCCACTCCCCTGCCCCCACTTCATGTGGGTGGCAAGGGGGTATTGTTAATAGTACTCAGAGCCACTGCCTTAGGGGGGATGGTTGGAGAGGGGACAGAAAAGCTGTTCAAATCCAGTGCCCTTTCTTTAGCACTTTCAGAACAGCTGTAATGAGGAAGTCTGTACAAGGGCTTTTGTGTGTGTGTTCACACACTCATTTGAAGAGCAATACGAGATGAAGCTGCTTACCAAGAAAAGAAAGACTAGTTCTAGTATTTAAAATTAAACTCAAATTTATAGAAATGTGGATCAATCTAAGGGGAAAGGGTGATACCATTCTTAAAAAAGAAAACAGAAATGTTGCTTAAACTCAGGGTGATTGACAGGTGATGAAGAGTAAAATCAGACTTATTCTTAAGCAGCTGGAAAGGTATTGATATGTCTTAGAAAATTATCATGATGTTTGCTCCATGTGAAAGTCAGTGTAATTCTGGAGAGGTGTTGTCCAGGTGAATTTATTCCCACTAAAGCAAAACTTAAGGTATAGAGAAGAATTTTCTTCTAAAATATCTTTTTGAAAGTCAGAATATCTTTTGCTGCAGTCATTTCAGACTTTCTGTTTTGATTAGGAAAAAAAATCACTATTGTATAACATTAGGATAAACTGATAAATTTATGTGATTATGTAACTATTCCTCACATAATATCATTATATCAAGACTGGTCAATAGAAAAATAATAGAACTCTTTATCACCAAAACTGTGATTTAATAGAAAAACCTGTAATCACTTTTTAAAATCCAGGTGCATATCAGAAGTGTCTTGAAATTTTTTGAAAAACACAAACGCCCAGGTATTGCTTTTTTTTCCACCAGAGCTCCAGATATGTTTCTAATGAGCAGTCATGTTTAAAAACATCTGGACTATATGATGATCTTTTACTTTTATCTAGTTTGTTTCACTTTTTATGTATCATATTTAGTGCTCCAATTTCTTTTATGTTTTCGTTTCTCCATCTCCTTTTTTCTGATGTTCTTTCTCAAGCCTTTATCAAGCATAGTAGAACAGCTTTTGTGTGTGTGTATATATATATACACACACATATATGTATAATGTATATAATTTAGAAAACTTAATGAATTTTTGCCTAGCTAAAAAATTTATGACATTTTGATTCCACTTGTTTTACTTAGTATGAACAGAATGCTAGATTTCTAATTAAAAAATAGATATGCAATAAGCAACAGAAGTTTACTGTATAGCACAGGGAACTATAGTCAATACCTTGTAATAACCTATAATGGAAAATAATTTCAAAAATGATATATGTGTATATGTATAACTGAATCACCTTGCTGTACCTGAAACATTGTAAGTCATCTATACTTCAATAAAATATATATATTAGGGAAAAAAAATATTGGTGAAGTTCAAAAGTTTGTGAAAAGAGTATAAAGAGTGAATATGTAAAAGAGAAAGAATGATATGAACATTTTCTTATCTGCTTGGTGGCACATCTCCATGGACTATGTGTCCCAGACACCTCACTAGTGAGGGGTCCCTGGAGCCTGACTGTTCCACTGTCTACGTGGGCGCGGTGAACCTTGTTCAGTGAGGAACATGATGGATGAACCCGTGACAGGCAGGGCCAGAGCCAGAGACCTGCACCTCTCCTGGAAACACAGTCACAGAACTCAGACATTCTAGTTTTCAGCAGTCTTCATCAGAAACTTCTCAGAAAGGTCGACTCTTTTCTTGTTTTCTAAGGTAAGTGAAAAGTTGTTGCCAGGTTGTGTTTGAAGAAGACCACCTTAAGATAAGGTGTCTTGTGAACGAGTCCCTGGCGACGTTCTTCCTGCCCAGAGGGAGCGTACTGATGTCCCAGTGATGCACACGTTCGGATCCACCCCTGGAACGTGTGCTCAGAGCCCCGTAAGACGGGGCCCTCTCCAGAAGCTTCCTTCACGTCTCCCGTAATGAAACCAGTAGGAAGCGTGGCACATTCTAACTGGGACCCTTGAAACATGGCTTCAGGTTTTCCATGGACTGTGCTCTGAGGCCAGGCCTGCTGACCAGAGCCTCAAACCCTTGCACGGCAGGCCTGGGATGACCAGGGCTGCTCTCCTTGTGGATGGCAAGTTGCTTGTGGACTCAAGATTGACGGTCCCACACCAGTCCTTCTTTTGTCAGGCGTCGCCACACCCATAACGTTGGGCGGCTAGATTTATATATTTTATCCATGGCCAAAATATATGCTTCCTTCTCCAGAACTCACCACATCCTACATATAATTAAATTTTTTTGCTGTGGTGAAATACATAGAACATAAAATTTACCATTTTAACCATTTGAAGTGTACAATTCAGAAGCATTAGTTGCATTCAAAATGTTGGACCACTGCCACTGCTATTTCCAAAACTTTTTCATCTTTCCAAACAGAAACTCTGTTAACCATTAAGCAATACCTTCCCATTCCCCCCTCTCTCCAACCCCTGGAGCGTCTGATCTTCTTTTTTGTCTCTATGAACTTGCCTGTATCATTTTAAGATTTAATTTTTTAAAAAGATTTATTTAGTTCACTTTGACTGTGCTGGGTGTTCATTGCTGCATGCGGGCCTTCTCTGGTTGCGGCAAGTGGGGTCCACTGTTAGTGCTCAGGGTTTTCACTGTGGTGTCTTCTCATGATGCAGAGCCCGGGCTCTAGGCACATGGGCTTCAGTGGTTGCAGCATGTGGGCTCAGTAGGTGTAACTCGTGGGCTTTAGAGCCACGGGCTCAATAGTTGTGGTGCACTGGGCATAGTTGCTCTGGAGCATGTGGGGTCCTCCCGGACCAAGGATCAAACCAGTGTCCTTTGCATTGCAAGGGAGATTCTTAACACCTGGTCCACCAGGGAAGCCCAAGTTTTATTTTATAAAAACTGTTTAAAACTGTTCTTAGAAGCAAAGTTCAACGTTTTGATAGAGTCCTTCGGGTTTTACAATTTTCAGCGGAGCACATTGAGGTCTGCCTCCCCTTGCTCGTTGTTGCTGGGAGAGATGAACAGAACCGGGCAGGACGGTGACCGGGTCCTTGGGGCGCTTTCATAGATCACACTGGGGGAGTAGCTGCATGGAGGTCCACAGTCCCAGCAGCTGCATGTGGCAGCCTTCATGAGTGAGTCATTCCTGTTTGAAGATCAAGAAGGTACTTTTCATTGAGAATTGGCATCAAAGTTTTGACCTCAAAATGTCCATCTCTTTCTCTTACTCTCTTCTGTCTTCTGGAGAGTGCAAAGGACACTTTGTAAGGGAAGATCATGCATGACTAAACATCATTATATTTAGCAGAGTGAGTTTCAGAGCCATAGGTAGGAACAGGACTAAGGAGGGCTAAGGACACCCTGGGACAGTGTGAGGGGAGCCCCTCCTTACCTGAAGCTGCCAACCACTCGCCCACCCGTGTCGTCTCCTCCCCAGCCAGTCCCTGGTGCCAGCAGTGTGCTGGGCTCGGGGGAGGAGCCAGGGGCCCCAGCTGGCTGCCTGTGATGATAACAATGAGGGTAACAGTGCAGCCCCTTCCACACCCCATTCCTTGGGCACTTTCTATGGGATGGGCCTGGGTGGGGGTTCTCGAGCTTTTTCTTGAACTTGTGCAGTGCCCCCCAGAGAGGTGGGTCTAGCACGGGAAGAGGGACGCTCCCAGAGGTCAAATTGCAGCTTTCAGGCCAGCACTTGACTAGTGGTCACAGCAGTGGGCTCCCAGGGCCGTGTTAGAGGACTGTCTGATCCCTGTTCAGTGCAGTCCCACCCTGAGCTGTGGAGCGGCTGGGGCAGGGTGCCCACTCCAGGCCACTCCTCTGGGCAAGACACACATACCTGGGTAGCCAAGGGACCTGGCCATCGGGAGAGAGGGTGGGGGCCCGGGGAGCGGGGAGTGCAGGGGAGGGGTGTCGGGGGGTCTCCATCTCTGAGCCTCCTGGTGGGGAGACTGTCACAGGGTTTCAGGGAGATACAGGGCCTGCGCTAAGTGCACCTTTGTCATTGTGAACAGCACAGGTGGGGGTGGGGACAGGCCCTGATGGCCAGAGCAATCAGAGAAAAGAGTCAGCTCTTAAAATTGTGTGTTAGTACTGATTCACTTTGCACAGAGGAAAGGCCCTCACGTGGCACTTGCTCATGCTTATTTTGCAGTTGACCCTTGAACAACTCAGGGGCTGGGGTGCCAGTCCTTTGCTTAGTCAAAAACCTGAGTATAACTTACAGTCAGTCCTCTGTATCCCTGGTTCCTTCGTTTCCAAGATGGTTCTGCCTCAGTGGGTTCAACCCACCGTGGATCGTGTACTGCTGTAGGATTGACTTTTGGCAAAAGCCTACATATAAGTGGATCTTCACAGTTCAAACTTGTGAAGTTCAAGGGGCAGTTATATTTCTGTCAGCTTTATGACCTTATTTCCTAGTTCACAACATGTCAGCAAAATCAAGTCAGGAGGGAAAAGTGAGCCTCCTTTGATACACATGCCTAACAGCTAAAGTGGAGGGTAGGATGAGAATCAGTTTCAGCGAGTGAAAGGGGAAGAAGAGATTAAGATGAAACAAAGTTGAGCTTTACGCATCTTCTTGGTGTGCAAGGATTTATTCAAACATTGTTAAAACAAACCATTCAGTCTGTTACTGAGGCCAAATGGTTCCTTTTAGGCTTCATTTCATTTGCACTGTTTTATCCAGGCAATAAATATTTAATTGGTTGATGTTTTAAAAGTTTACCAACCTGCAGTAAATCTATATTTAGCATAAGCCCGAGTAACCTTGTAAGTCATTTCCAATAGGATTAAAATGATCAGCATGCTTCCTAAGTCCTAAAAGAAATGTGAAGCTCTGGGGCACATTCAGTTGTACGTTCTTAATTTCAGATGGATGTTCATGTTCCACCAGCAAGTTTTTCTAAGACTGCATATAAGGCTGGTCTTTTTCTTTCCCCGGGGATGTCCCAGTGTCCCCACAGGAGAAGGAGAGAAGGATCTGGTCTCTTTGAAGTTTGATCCAACCAGACGATCAACAGGGAATCTTCTATGTTGTTTTATTTGTGAATCAGCTGGAAATAAATTTGCCTTTCAAACAGATCTCAAACACGTAAACGTCTGAGTGTTGTAGATATAGCTGTCATTTCATAACCATCTGTCATTCCTCTGAAATATGAAAAGGTGGGTTGGACGTCACTTAGGAAGTGTGATGAGTCCTTGGCTTCTATCCTGAGCATCCTTGTCTACATCACTGCTCACCCGCCGCAGGTGACCAAGTGAGCCATAATCTACCCATTACTGCAGCCTCCTTCCAAAACTGTCTGGTTAATAACACTCATTTTGTCTGATCTCTAATTTCTACATGTTAAGAACATATATTTTTATTTGTCATGGTGTTCCCGTGAGCCCTATCTCTCCATTCTGGTTGCTACTGCCATGATTTGGGGTTCTGGACATCTCTCTTTTGGAGACTGTGGCCCTCTCCCTGGGATCCCTGTCCTCCACTGGGATTCTCTGCCAGCCCTTCATGCATTCTGCAGGGTGATGTCCCCAAATGCAGACCTGACCAGGACATTCTGTGGCTTAAAGCCTTTCCAGGCCTTTCCTTGCCTTCAGGCCGCTTCTGTGCCCCAGACACAGGGGCTCGTCTTCCTGCCAGCCAGGGTCCTCTCTCCCCTCCTCTGCCTGTGACGGCCACCCCACCTCCTGTCTCCTGTACTGCCTGGGTTTCTCATTGCTGTCAAGAAGCAGTTCAAAACGGAAGAGGTCTACTTGTTTAATTCTATTTCAGTTTTCCCCTGTTGGGTGAGAGATACTGGAGGAACCAGAATATACATACACTTGCCTTTATCTCATGAGATTATATACCTTAGAAACCTCTTTCCTGAACCGTGTGCTTTGTCTTTTACTGCTGTTGTGTATCTTTCTGAGCCAGCAAGGGATTGTCACGAGAGGAAGAAGACAAATATGAAATGTGCAGTGATGGTCCCTCCCCAGAAATTTGGAAAAATATGAAGTCGCTCAGCAAATGAGCTACCTTAGAGAAGATTATAATGTTGGCCTTATCTTCTTTTACGAACTTTCCGCTTCCCTGACATTCACTTAATCAACTACTATTAATTGTCTTGGAAAATGTTTTTTTTTTGTTTACACAGCTTTTTAAGAAAATGAACAATTGCCACCACATTGAAGAAAGTTAGGCCAAAAAATGTTACTCTTAACAAAAAGAGATGAGCATTGGGCATATTAACACATATAATTCTATGTATTATAAGATGCAAACATTTTCTTTGGTTTTTCTGCCAAAAATGAGACTTGTTGGTTTTCACCTTAGCGATTCACTGACACTTTGGAGGTGGGTTGCCATTTGGAATTTGGAAGTGCTGCACCTTCAATCCATTTAGATAAATGTCCCCATTTCTGATTAGGCCCAGAGTGGTGGGGGCTCTCCCAGAATTGAGATGTTCACAGCAGCTCCACATTTTTGTGGATTCTGAAAAGGGATTTCACAGAGATTAGCATTCAGAATGTTTGTCTAAGTCCAAGTAAGACTTTTGGGGTAGAAAGATTGAATAAAGTGCTTTATCCTCTGTTGCAGTTTTTCCCCCTCCCCCTTTTCTTTAGAAAGCAGCCTTGTTGTTTTTGTAACAATTTAAAAATATTCCACCTGAGTTTGGATGCTTTGTACTGGAGAACTAGATGGTTTGGGGTTTGGGAGTATTACCATGGACCCGAGTTGACAGAGAGTTTAGGTTTATGATGCAGAAAGCATTCAGGGAAGGCATATGACATGTTTACTTCTGCGGCCTGGCTCTTAAGGGGTGACACGAGTCAGACCCCTTTGTCAGGACCCACATGCTCTTCCTTAGTGGGAATTTGACTGTGATAAAGAGGCCTGAAACAACGGAGGGAATTCTCAGCATCAGAGGGAGAAGAAGGGTAGGAAAGTGTAGGGCTGGAAAAAGAACTGATAATGTTAAAATTACGGTTTATTCGTTATAAAATAGGTCTGGCCATAAACATATTAAATTCTTGCCAGTATCTAGTTCAAGGAAAATGTTGTGAAATAGCACTGCATGCAGTAAAGGGAATTTTAAAACAATTATCATTTGCTGTCTTCTCTGCAGTCAGCTGGACTTTGGAACCTGGCTCTCGGGCTGTGCAGTCGTCAGGAGCTTGTACTTCTTCCTCTGTGATTCTGGCTGTGCTCTCTTGTTGACCGACTCCCCTTCGGTTCAAGTGGAGGCCTCCTGGGCAGCTGGTGGCCAGGGCGGCTGTGATGGCTCGAGTCAAGTGCGCCCCTCCCATGGATGCGGCTCCCAATTTAGCTGCGGGGTTTGCGCATAGCATGCCACAGCCCAGCAATCTGAGCTCTTGCTTTCTGTTTAAAAAGGCAGATGCTTCACACATGTTTGCCCGAATTGACATAAACCTTGGAAGGAAAGAATGCCGATGCGCCTTCGTTACCCCGTAGCAGCTTGTTACTTGTAATTTTTTAGGCTTCCTGTAAGATCACATGCCGAAGGCAAAGCAACACTTGTGCTCCTGCTGGGTTGGGAGTCTCGCTGTTTTAAGTGCCTGAGTGATGGGTGGACGGGGCGTCTGTAGACAGCCAGTGGATGAGTCTGATGGACCTCAGGGGTGGGAGGGCTTCCTGCACCTGCGTTGTCGCAGGTGGCCAGAGAGGAACACAGCCGAGGGGAGGAGGGTGCCTTTGTCTGGTCCTTCTTTCCACATCAAGAAGAGCAGACGCTTGAATCATGGAATTAGCCTGCCTGGGGAGGGTTTACTCTGGAGCACAGACTACTGGGAAGGCCTAAAAATAAGACCGAGAAAGTGTTTGCCCCTTTTCTTGAAGACGACATCGGCCTGCATGACTTGGGAGGCGTCAGATGGCTCCCGACTGACCCTTGTGCCAAGTGACACTCAGCTCTCTCTCTCTCTCTTCCGGGCTCAGCTCTGCCCGAGGTTGATCCTGTAGAGGCTGCGAAGGGAGGGTGGAACCCTGGGCATGTCTCACAGTGGTCCTGGGTTTATTCTCGTCTGACCGCACCTCCTCGGTCCTCCACGGCAGTACCAGGCCCACGTCAGCCCTGAATTAACTGATGGTGTGTACTTGAAAGCTGACAGGCCACATTTTGGGGGTGCCTCTGGCCATCACATACAATCAGGGGTCATGTGGACTGAACCTTACAGTTTATGTATGCCTCATGGACCAGCTGCAAACACTTAGGAGATGTTGTGTGCCCACCTCGAATTGCATCTCCTGCTTACCACCTGGACAGGTTGCCCCCTCCAGTGTGATCGCACACTTATCAGTGCCCCTCTGCACACCCCAGGTAGAGACTGGTACTTGTGTGCACCCCCCCTAGAAGGGCATCCCAGAGGGATCCAGAGTGAGTTTGGAAGCAGATCCATTAAATAAACAAGCTGTTTATTTAAGCGAGTCTGTTAAATAAGACAAGTTTTACCTGTGGCTGGCCCTCGTGAGCGCAGGACAGCTGGTTTTAGAATAAGACTTCAGCTAACTACAGTTAGAGTTTGGTATTAAATACTCTCACCCCCGCACTTCGGGTTTTTTAAACACAGTGCTGGCCTAAAAGTAAGAACCAGCTTCTGGGAACGGGTCAGGCGGGAGCCCTAGAATTTGGCTAGTGTCCTTTAGCTTATCTGTGATTAGCTGAGATGCTTGATAAATTCTTTTCCTGTTCCAGCAGCTTTATGACCGTCGGGGTCTGGCTGTCTGGTGCGGCAGTTCGGGACAGTACGTAGTTGGCGTGGTGTAAATAGTAAGTGGGGACATGTCTTACCAGCCTGTTGTTTCAGCTGATGACTTCAGTCATGCTGGAGTTTTGATGTTTATCACTGTCTCTTTCACCCCCACCCTTTCCTTACCCAAAAGACAAATGGTGAGGTTAAATATGGCCATGACTCAGCCACGGCTCAGCCCGAGCCCAGTAGTAGCCATGAGGAGACAGAGTCACCATCACAGGTTCTGTTGGAGCTGGCATGCAGGCCTTTCAGCGGTCTCGGTTTTCACTGATGTTTAATAGCTTATTGTCAGAACTTATTCTGGCAATCATCTAATAAAGTATTCCTTAGCATGTTTCAAAAACTAAAATAATTTTTTTAAATGAAAGTGCAGATTATTTGATTTGCCAAGTGACATTAACGCATGAGGAAGTACACATAATTGAACTAAATCTAACTTTTTTTGCTTAGGTAACAAAAGTGAGATGCTTTTGAATTTTCAAAGACTTAGGCAAGCAGTATATGATGAAGAAGTTGGATAGCTTCTTTTGTGAGACTTTTCTTATTTTAATAAAGTTACTTGGCCCTGAAAACTTAAGTTCAGTTGAGCAAAGAGTTTGTGGCATGAATACTGCAAGGATCTTAAAGTTTGCAACCTAAAGGAAGACTGCAATTGTGTACAATTAATTTGTTGTGTGGGTTAAGTTTTAGAATGGAGAACAGAAGTACAGTGGTGACTGGCTTAAATGTCTTCTCCCTTGAAAAAGTGTTTCAGAACAGTAGAGGGGATAGGTACGGCTGAATGCGTGAATGTGGATCTGAGTCCAGTGGGGTTGCCGGCAGATCTTTTGGAATATTCCAGAATCAGTAGTCAACCAGAGGACAGGGGTAATGTGCAACCTCGATATCCAGCCAGAGCTGCCATGAAATTTGATGGTCGTTTGGGGTCACATGCCAGTTCCAGGGGTCAGCAGGGCCATGCTGGTTTCTGGTGTGGGGGGGAGGTGGGCAGCACCTGTGCAGATGAGCAGTCTGTAATGGGGGGAAGGGAGGGAGCATGCTACCTGAAGAAGGAGAACTCTGAGGGGTCAGCATAGCAATCAGTAGGGAGACTGTGGCCAGGATGGAGCCAGGATGAGAAGAGGAGGGTTCNGCTGATTCATGTCAATGTATGACAAAAACCACTACAATATTGTAAAGTAATT